AAGAGGACAGCAGAGGGCGCGCTTCTCTCACGGTATGGAGTCGGCTTCCAAGACACGCAAGCAACCAAGCAGATACAATTCACACCTGGTCCTATTCCCAGCTAATTAAAACTCTTGTTTTACCCGAAGCACAAAATTCTAGGTTAGCACAGACAAATAATATAATTAGGTCGCTCATAAATAATATCATGCCTAGTTTGCATGTTGTAAAAAAAAAACCTAAATAAGGTACTTTAGTTATTGAAATTAAAAACAATGAATTAAGACAATAGGAATTACAATCATTTAAAAGTAGATTATTGAGGATTAATTCTAGTAAAATGCTCTGCATATGTATATATTGAAAAGAAGAATTCAATTACTTGAAAAGCTAATTTATTTTCAGTGCAATCTTCTGGGGCTTGATTTGCAAGACAGTAACCGCTGAAAGTTTTTGTGGGTTGTGAGTGATACTCCATCTACAGTTGGTTTGCTGCTGGTTCAGCCCCATGATCTTTGCTGTAATACCCCGTAACCCCTGTCAGACCTAGATTGATTGTCTGAATATAGTACATTGGTGTTTGCAGTGGTTTCTTTTGGTTTCATTCAAATAGAAGCGTTGAGTGCTTCTGTCAGAAATCCGCACTTAGGAGTATAAAACAAAAGGTTCACAAACTGAAACTTCACATTGATTCTGCTTATTTCCTCCTTCACTTCCCTCTTCGACTCATGTCCATGAAGAGAATGTAGGAGGTTACCCCCTGCAGTTGTGAGGCTTTTGCTATTCCTGCAAACATGTCTTGCAGTGTTCAGTGTGCTTCTCAGGCTGCACAAGGCCCCGGGAGCAGTGCTAATGAGGTGGAGACAAACACGTTTAGGGGAAGGGTATGTCACACATCGCACACAAGCCATCATTTGGAGAAGCCTGAAAATAAAATATGGGCCAACTGCCAATGACATAAGAATCACAATGTTTACATGAGCTACGCTGCTCTAAGATGTTTGGTTGCTGGGACGTATGCTTTGAAGCAGAATTGAAGGGGAATTCGCTCCCAGTTAAGGGGGGTGTTTCTTAATTAACCTGGACAGGGAGCCTGAAAACATTGCGTAAGGCTGAGATCGCTGTGCCCCATTGTGTAGCTCGCAGTTC